GCTGTAAATCCAAATTAACAAAATCAGGGAAACATCACAACAGACACCCAAAAGATCCAGACCATTATAAGGGAATATTTTTAAAACCTATATGCTACTAAATTTGAAAATCTAAAAGAAATGGATTGATATCTGAAATCATGGGAACCACCAAAGTTAAACCAAGAAGAGATCAACAGTTTAAACAGATGCATAACATAGAAGGAAATTGAAACAGTAATACAAAGCCTCCCAACTAAAAAGAGCCCAGGCCCAGATGGATTTACAGCAAAATTCTACCAGATACTTAAGGAAAACCTCCAACCAATACTACTGAAATTATTCAAAACAATAGAAATAGATGGAGAACTCCCAAATTCCTTCTATGGAGGCAGTATCACTAATACCCAAACCGGGTAAAGACACAACCAAAAAAAGAAAACTATAGACCCATATCCTTAATTAACATAGATGCAAAAATTCTCCACAAAATACTTGCAAACCGCATACAGACACACATCAAAAGATCATTCACTATGATCAAGTAGGCTTTGTTCCAGAGATGCAGGGCTGGTTCAATATATGCAAGGCAATAAATCATTAATCATATAAATGGACTCAAAGCCAAAAACCACATTGTCATCTCAACAGATGCAGAAAAGGCTTTTGACAAAATTCGGCATGCATGTATGTTCAAAGTCCTAGAGGGAATTGGACTGGAGGGAACATACCTCAACATAATTAAAGCTATATACAATAAACCCACAGCCAACATCAATCTAAATGGAGAAAAACTGGAAGCATTCCCATTAAAATCAGGAACCAGATAAGGATGTCCACTGTCTCTACTCCTTTTCAACATAGTGCTTGAAACTCATGCTAGAGTAATAAGACAGGAGAAGGAAATTAAAGGACTACTAATTGGAAAAGAAGAGGTCAAACTATCACTTTTTGCAGATGCTATGATACTATACCTAAGAGATCCCAAAAGTTCCACCAGAAAACTCCTAGAACTGATCAACACTTTCAGTATAGTGGCAGGTTATAAATTCAATCTACAAAAATCAGTAGCCTTTCTATATATCAATAACAAGCAATTGGAGAAAGAATACAAGGAAATGCATCCATTCACAATAGCTACAAAAAATTATCTATCTATCTATCTATCTATCTATCTATCTATCTATCTATCTGCTACAAAAAAAATAAAATATCTTGGAGTAAATCTAACCAAAGACACCATAGATCACTACAATGAAAATTTTAAACCATTAAAGAGATTGCAGAAGACACCAGGAGATGGAAGGACCTCCCATGCTCGTGGATTGGAAGAATTAATATTGTTAAAATGACTATCCTACTAAAAGCAATATATAGATTCAATGCAATCCCAATCAAAATCCCCATGACATACTTTACAGAATTAGAAAAATCCATCCTTAAATTCATATGGAAGCACAAAAGACCCCCGATAGCCAAAGCAACCCTGAGCACAAAGAGCAAAGCTGGGGGGGATTACTATACCAGATCTCAAAGTATATGTGACCAGGCCACAGAGGAGCTGACACAGAATGGAGAATAGCCAAAGCAGTTGGCATTCCGGTAAAATATGCTGACATCCAACAGGCTGTCCAGGACTGTTAGGCGTGTTCCTGGTTATGGCCCCGGAGGATGGATGCCATGATGAGACATGTGCACAAGGCAGCTTCCCCTGTGAAAGACTGGCAAGCAGATTATATAGGGCCCCTGCCCAGTGAGGGGTGTAAATATGCTCTCACTTGTATGGACACTGCCACAGGCCTTACACAGGCCTTTCTTTGCAAGAGAGTGATGGGCAGGGCCACTATTAAGGGGCTTACTGAACTCAGTGTCATGTATGGGTGCCCAAGGTGAATTGAGAGGAACAGAGGCACTCCTTTCACAGGTACAGATGTGCAAGCTTGGGCTGAGGATAATCAGGGTCAATGATATTTCCACCTTCCACACAATCCTACAGGAGCAGAGTTAATTGAAAGAAAAAAACGGGTTGCTAAAGGAGTAGTTGAAAGCCTTAAGCCCAGAAGGAACCCTATGGGGATGAGAAAAAGGCCCTTCTAGAAGAAATAAGGTTGTTAAATGAAAATCCCAGTACTAGAGGTGGGTTGCCCCCCTATGAGTAGTTGGCCAAAGGGACCCCAGAGGTCCCCAAAACTATAAAGGCAACTGCCAATAATGTTGGTTGCACACCTGAAGTGGATGGTAAGACCCTATTGCTGAAGATGCCACATGATGTGAGCTCAGGAGAGGGAGAAATCAAGCTAGGACTAAGCTGGAAACTCCCTGCCACTGGATGGGTGGCTTTCATAGTGCCAGGAGGCGCTATGCAGATGGCTGGGGGAGAACTGTCCCTCATTATCCTGTTCAATGAAGGACCCCATGTGCTGCACTAACAACATGTGAAGCAAGATGTTCCTGCTGGTACAACAGTGGCTCGTCTAGTGTATGTACAACCAGCTAGTTATCGATTGGACCTAATGCCCGCTCCTAGGGATGGAACACACATCTGGTACTGTAGACCAGGCCACCCCCCTGTGGCAGGAGAGGTTATAGGCCCCAGTGGAGAAGCCACTGCAATTGTATTGTTAGATGGATGTGATGCACCTACTAAAGTACCATCCAGGCATTTGTGTTTTCTCCCATAAGCTATTATAGCAGTTACTGTTTACATGTTCTTGCTTCTCCTGTTTGTGTTTTTATAGTAGATGGAATGCCACTAAACTGAGACATCGGCCCATGACAAACACAGGATGCAGAGACTTGAACAGTCCAGTGCCCTACTACAATGGGAGAAAGATTGCCCCACCCCCTCTGAAGCTCAGGGATATTCACAGAAAAGATGGCAGGTGGAAAGTTTTGTAAGAGCCAGAGGAAGGGGTGGAGTGTGACCCAGATATTCCTCTGACCCTGTGATGACGAGC